TGTCTTGTTTATGCAACCATTTTAGAATGACTATTTCACCGAAGACTTTCTGGTATTCTGACTCATAATCTTTTCACCCCTCTTCTGTGATGTTCTCCTAGATACAGAATCTGTCCATTGTGTCTGGGTTCCTGGTGATGTTTGTGTCTGCATTGTGTTCAGTTGTTGTTTTCTGTAATAGTCTCCATTTGCTGTAAAAAGAGGCTTCTTTGATGAGGGGTAGTGTACTAGGTGATTTTGTGTGTCAACTTGGCACAAGCTAGTTATCAGAAGAAGGAGCCTCAGCTGAGGAAATGCCTCCTTGAGATCCAGATGTAAGTGATTTTCTCATTTAGTGGTCAGTGGGGGAGAGCCCAGGCCATGGTGGCCCTGGGCTGCTGATCCTGGGTTCTATAATAAAGTGGACTGAGCAAGCCATGGGAAACAAGCCAGTAAGCAGTTCCCCTCCATGGCCTCTGCATTAGCTCATGCCTTCAGGATCCTGCCCTGTTTGAATTCCTGTCCTGGCTTCTTCCAGAGATTAACAGCAATTATGGAAGTGTAAGCCAAATAACCCCCCCCCCCCGCATGTCTTGTGGTCACGGTGTTTTGTCACAGCAATATACACCCCAAGACAGGCGGTAACTACACTTATCCAGGAAAGGTGGCTCAGTCACAAAGAGGGCTTGCAGGCCATGAGCCTGGAACCATTTTTTTTTCAACTTTTTTTATTTGAATTAGAAACAGGATCGTTTTACATGACAATCCCAATTCCCTTCTCCCACCCGTCCTCCCCTACCGTTCCCACAACTAAAACCCTACACATCACATATCCTTTCTGCTCCCCCTGGATGGTGAGACCTTCCATAGGGTGTCATCAGTGTCTATCATATCCTTTGGGATATGGCCTAGGCCTTCCCCCGTGTGTCTTGGCTCAGGGAGTATCCCTCTATGTGGAATGGGCTCCCAAAGTCCACACCTATGCTAGGGATAAGTACTGAACTTCTACAGGAGATCCTGTAGATTTCTGAGGTTTCCTCACAGAAACCCATGTTCTGTGGTCTGGATCAGTCCCATGCTGGTATCCCAGCTATCAGTCTGGGGAGCAAGAGTTCCCCGATGTCCAGGTCAGCTGTTTCTGTGGGTTTCACCAGCCTGGTCTGGACCCCTATGCTTTTCACTCATCCTCTGCATCTGGGTTCCAGTTCAGTTTGGTGTTTAGTTGTGAGTGTCTGCTTCTACTTCCACCAGCTGCTGGATGAGGGCTATCCCGTGGCATATAAGTCAGTCATCAATCTCATCAGGGGAGGGCATTTAAGGTAGCCTCTCCTCTGTTGCTTAGATTGTTAGCTAGTGTCATCTTTGTAGATCTCCAGACATTTCCCTAGTGCCTGATTTCTCTGTAAACCAAAAATGTCTCCCTCTATTATGATATCTCCATTGTTGTTATCATCTATTCTTCCCCTGACTCAACCTTTCTGCTCCCTCATGTCCTCTGCATCCCTCTTCTTCTCCCCTTCTCATTCTCCTAGCTCCCTCCCCCCTCTTCCCGTGCTCCCAATTTGCTCAGCAGATCTTGACCCTCTCCCCTTCTCCAGGGGACCATGTATGTCTGGAACCATTTTTTAAATATCCAATATTTAGAGAAGTAAAACATCAGCAGAAGACACTGTGTTTCTCTTTGTAGCCAAGTTTGAATTTTGTTTAAAGATTTGGCTTTCATTCTTATCTAAAGTATCTAAATAGATGCACTACTCTAAAAGTGACAAAAGATATAGAAATTAATAAGATAAGCATTGCTTTCATGTTTATTATAATCTAACAATGGTAAGGCAGATATTAAATACATGTAGCATAAGATGGAGAAGGGTAAGTGCCAGAAGTTATAAACAAGATACAAAAGTATTTTCAAAATTGGAAAAAATTCTCATGGGTGGTAGTAACTTACGAGAGAGAGAGAGAGAGAGAGAGAGAGAGAGAGAGAGAGAGAGAGAGCAAGCTACCAACCTCTGTAAAGACCCTTTGTATAGTTCACTACCCTTTTACTTAACTGTATACTTTCCCTTTCTGCTGAGCTACAATGTCTTCATGGCCGGGTACATATTACTTTGTATATCCCAACTCCTTGCTTGTATCTGGTTTGTAAAGGACACTTGATAAATGGGAGTTGCTGTCTAAAACATTTTTATTCTGTTGAACAAATAATCCTATACAACCAAATAATAAGTTTCTTAAAACCTAAACTTTTTAGGACAACTTTTTATAGGTTTATACATAATATGTACCATAAAGTATCATAAAAAGATCAAAATTAAAATCTTCTTATCTCTATGATTGAATAAGTAGAAAGTCACTATCTCTTGTTTTTTTTTTTCAATTATACTGATTACGGCAATAGGTTTTATGGCATTTGATTGACTAAGCTCAGACCTCAATGAAAGTGATTTATTAATAAATTTACATTTCCACTGTGAGTGATAAATCATATTAAGTCTTGAACTATAATAGTGAATGACATATTATTCAGATTTATCACTAAGTAATTGCTAACTTCTTCGAGCTTTAAATTTCTGTGATTTTTTTTTTTATTGTCCATGAGGTGAAATTGTATATGGTATATAAGCAATTTTATATGTTTGGGGGGGGGACTCTTTTGAATCATAGGTTGGAAATTCAGTACCTTTCATTCAGTCCAGTGAGCATATTTGGAGGAGTTGCTGGGTTGTGGTGGAAGCACTAAATTTAGTAAGATAAAACAACCAGAAACTGTACTCTTCTGAGGGATGGACATATATAATTATTACAAAGTGGTTTAGAGAAATGAGAGTTTATTTATTTCACATATTGGAAGTCCAGAGACAAGCAATGCAAGGTTTATCTAGCAGCTTAACATTGTCATCAGAGTTACATCCCCATGGTTGAAAATGGTCACAATACCTCCAAGTATCCAATCTTGTTCTAGATAGAAAACATATCCTTCCTTTTGGAAGGATCTGTATCTGTCTATTTTAATCTTAGTATTAGTAATTAAATAACTTCTCCCAGTGATTTCTTCTGACATCATGCTGTCCAGAATTACATCACAGCCAAGACTTGGGTAAGAAAGAAGGGGACTATGAGCCCAGTTAGGAGACCCAAGAAGTAGGGCGTGTAATTTCTCTTTTCTGTTTATTTTTGTTCTACATACATTTTGGCACTTCAAGGGTAAGGTTAAATTATTCATGCATGAAGATGTAGTGATCAAGAAGTCTGCCTTTGGATCTAAGTAGATAGTTCAGTTGATAAAGAGATTTTTGTGCAAACCTAAGTTTGATGCCTAGAACCCATATGTAAAAGCTGGGTCCAGTGTTGCCTTTTTAATTTCAGTGCTGGAGAAACAGAGACAGGCAAATCGCTGGAGCTTGCTAGTGATCCTCAGGCTAATGAAAGATCCTGCCTCAAAAACAAATAACAAAATGGATAGCTCCTAAGGACTAACACTTGAGGTTCTCCTCTAGTCTCCATACATACTTATGTGCATGCTTACCTACCTGTATAAATCCGAACACACATGAAAATACATACATACATACACACATACATACATACATACATTCTCCATCATGAAGTGATTCATTTTGTTAGCTCAACAAATATTTACTTTTATGTACTGTAGATACACAGCTATTGTTAGCTATGTGCTATGTGTGAAGTAAAGTAGAGAAATAGGAATAAAGAATGATGGCATATATTATTATAGAGAATATTCACAAAATCTTCTCTGATGAGTTGACACAAGCAAAAATCTGAAAGTAATGAGGCCTAGGTACCAGTGTAATATTGGAGGAAATGGTCCAAGAGAGAAAACAGCAAGCACAAAGGCCTCAAAGAGGGAGACACCTGGCATGATCACTGAAAAGAAAGAAAACAGTGTGACTAGGGCACAATAAACCCAAAAATAGAAGACAAGAATGGTGATGTTATGTTGGATTTTATGTGACAAAGATTTTAATATAAGTGAAATTTAAAGTCTTTGGGAGCTGTAAGCATAGATTAGTATGTTGCAACTTAGGATCACACAACTGTGGTAAATCAGCTGCAATGAAACAAGGATAGAAGGATAGAATCAGAACAGTCAAGAGGCTTAACAGTTTACCAGGACATAAGTGATATTCCAGCTGTTCTGGTAGCAGTAGAAGTGATAAGTAACAATCAAATTCTAGATGAATTTTAAAGGCACTTTAGTTATAGTTCTGACAAAAGGAGAAGACTCAAGGATGTCTCCATTGTTTTGCTCAGTTATTAAACTGGTAAAAATAAATGGCTGAGTTGAGGGTTGCAAGAGAATTGAAGCATCCTAAGAGTGGTAAAGGAGGTCGGAGGTTTAAGAGATTAATTTTTCAAATTTTAGGTTTGAGTTGTCGATTGCATATTCAAGAAATGCTAGATAATCACTAGCCTGAAAAACTACATTATCTACCAGGTCTTATATAATATACAAATATCAAGTTGAGGGTAGAAGTTGAGATCAGAGATATAAAATCAATAGTTTTTCTGTATTATGATATTAATGCCAAAGGACTAAATAAGATTACATAAGAGTAGATAGCTATCTATGATCTTCCATGACTTTTTACAGGAAAAAGAACAATTCCAGTGAATCTTAAATAAATTCATTTTGCTAACTAATTCATTAAATATCTAGAGAGCAGTACAAAACTACCTAGGTTTAATCCTGGCTCTTTTGTTAACAGCTGTGTGACTTGGGCAAAGATATAAGGCCTGTCTAAGCTTCTTTCCTCAGTTGTAGAAATAGTGATAGAACCTTTCTATGGCATGAGTTCACCTATGATAGTCACTTGACCCACAGTAAACATTCAGTGATCAGCCATTATCATTAAATTTCACAGAGTTTTGGCATGTGTCAGAAACAGGAGAAATACTGTCTCACCAGTACACAGAGACTGGAAGTTTGATATTAAAGTCATTCTTACTTGTTAGTGTTTCAGTGTCTTATTCTCAGTTAATTGTCTCCTGTTTAGGTCACAGTGCTGTAGATATTACCAAGGTGGCTAGAAGACATCGCATGTCTCCTTTTCCTCTGACATCTATGGACAAAGCCTTCATCACAGTCCTGGAGATGACTCCGGTGCTTGGTACAGAAATCATCAATTACCGAGGTACTGTCATGTCTGTCTAGTGGTCTTTGTCTTCCAAGAAAGACTCATACAACATGAATGCACCATTTCCTAAGGGAGGATGCTTACTCACGATTGTCAGCATCAGCATCTTCCTTTCTGTTCCTATTTTCTATTAAACTATGCTTGACTTAATAATCAGAATAAAATACTAGATAGCTTTCACTTCATAAAAATGGGAAAGGACTGTCTGTTTTGTATTCTAAATGTCATAATTCTACCCTAAAGATGGTGCTATCGCACTGAATCAAAAAAATAAATAAATAAGACAATTCTGAGTCCTTCTGATGACTTTTCTGTTAGGAGTTGGAAATAACTAATATCATGTAACCATGTATTGTAGAAAATTTATACAGGCCATTTATGACTTGATTTTCCAGCTTTATAAAGGTACAAAAGTACCACACATGTCCAGAAAACTTCATTTTACATTGTACATTTTGATATGTGATATGGCATTGCCTTATAATGCTGAGTGTAGAAGCAAGCTGTAGTTCCTAGTCAGCCACAAAGCAAGGGTAACCATTTATCATATGACTGAGCTATATGTACACTAGACTGGATTAGATTACATATAAAATTCTCTCCCCCCCCCCCCCGTGTGTGTGTGTGTGTGTGTGTATGTGTGTGTGTGTGTGTGTGTGTATCTGTCTCCCTGTCCCCCCCCCACTCCTGTCTTTCTTTCATAAGATCTCACTATGTGTCCTAGGCTGCCTGTCAATTGGGATTCTCCAGCAGTAGCCCCCCAGGTGACAATATTACAGGCATATGCTACCATGCCCCATTTAAATGCATCTTTTCAGTTAATGATATTTTCAACTTACAATGTTTATTAGGATATAGCGTAAGTTAAGAAATATCTGTAGCTAAAAATAACCTAATTTGTCCTTGGGTTATTAAATATCACTCTGATCTTTTGTGTTCTACCTTGCTTCTTGATTTTTTTGTTGTTGTTGTTTTTGCTCTTAATCTACTAGTGTATTCAGAAAAGTTTGAAAGATAATGGAAATGTAATTGTTTTAGCTTTTGGTCACTATAATACCTGACATAATTAAAAATGTCTACTTGGTGTTTTTTTGTTTTTTGTCATTGTTGTGTTATTGGTCATAGTGGTGGTTTTTTGAAACAGGGTCTCACTGTGTATACCTGGCTGGACTGGAACTCACTTTGGAGACCAGGCTGACCTTGAACACAGAGAGCACCTGCCTCTGCTTCCTGAGTGCTGGGATTAAAGGTATGCACCAGCATGCCCCAGCTATCTTTCTGTAAGAAATTCTAGTTCATAATCAAGTAAGTGGTCCTGTGACCTTGAGCCTTTAATGAGGCATCATCTCATGGCAAGAGTTAATGACAGAACAACTTACCTCATGATCCAGTAAACAAAAAGTAGGAAGAAAAGGAAGAGACCAGAGTCCTACAATCCCCTCATGAAAATACCCTCCCCAGTGACTGAAGTAACCTGCAAGGCCTCTGCCCTGGAAGGCAGTGCCACCCTGGGTTCACTTGGACCTTTTGGAAACACTCAGCATTAACACTAAAGCAGTATTGCTTCCCCACTGTAATAATTTTTTAATCAATCTCCATTTTTAATAACCTGAGAATTTGTATTTTGACATTGAGTTCCAGCACAGTAAGCTCCTGAGCACTTCTAGTTAATAATACTTGTGATCAAACCCTACCTCCCCAAAAGTTGTACTTGACATATTATAAATGAAATATAGTTCTTAGTTATTGTTATGAAGATAGAAACAACACAAAATAATTAATTTAGGTTTTGGGTGATAGCTCCATCAGTAAAGTGCTTACTGTACAAGCATGAGGGTATGCATTCAATTCCCAGCACTCACATAAGAAGTCAAGCATGTTAGCATGTGCTTGTAAACCCAGTGTTGGGGAGATGGAGACTCTTGGATCCCTGAGACTCACTTGCCATCTACCTTACCCTATTTGGTGAACTTCATGTCCTCATGAGCAACCTTGTCTCAAAAACAACATGGATGGCATCTAAGGAATATCACCTAAGGTTATCCTCATGCCTCCAGACACACGTGCACATTCACACACAGAATAATTGTCCAAGTAAAGAGTTTTATTCCTGGAATCTTAAAACTGACGTAATTAAACTGAAATGAACATAGAAAATAACTATACAATATCCTAATATTTCTGCCCCAAAATTCAGACTCAAAAGCAGAAAAGGAATAGGAATAAAGTGTTAAGACTTACATTCTTTTTTTGTTACATAATAGTCTCCTGATCCAGCATTAAAATATTTTTAATAAATGGTAGCTGGCATAACAGATGATGTTAAAGGCCTAAAATTAGTGAAATAGTAGGTGCCATGTTTTAGCTCCTTTGTCCTGGCCCTCATTAGACAACAATAGGTTTTATACTGCTTCCACTTATCCTACATCTTTGATTCACATTCTTTTAGGCTTAAACATTTTCTGATGTTTTTGTTTTATTCTCTACTAACGGAAATAAAATAAGAAATTCACTGGAGTAAGGAAATTGTCAGAAATTATGTAATTCAGAAATCAGCATTCATGAAATTGTTTACTATTAAATGCAGAATATTCCATCATTTATTGATTCCAATGCAAACCAAGATATATTTAGGAAATACAAATGTAAATTTAAATTATTAAAATTTTTAATAAATTTTTAAAAAGAATCAGTCCTGGTCTCTTGTAATTTTAGTGGTCTTTCCCTTAACTTTGGTTTATTATTTAATTAATTAATTAATTTATGTATTTATTTCATTTTACATTCCAACTACAGATCTCCCACCCCCACCACAGCCTCCCAATGGGTAAGGGATCCCATAAGAAGTCAACAAAATCTGGCAGGACCAAGTCCCTCCCACTTGTATTAAGGCTAAGCATGGCATCCCACCATAGGAAATGGGCTCAAACAAACTAGCTCATGAACCAGGCATAGATACTGGTCCTACTGCCAGAGGCCCCTCAGTTAGTCCAAGCTTCACAACAGTCTCCCACATTAGGAGGACATAGTTCTGTCCCATGGGAGCTTTACTGCTGTTGGTCTAGAGTTCATGAGTTTTCACAAGCTTGGTTCAGCTCTTTCTGTGGATTTCTCCATCATGATCTTGACCTCCCTTGCTCTCTTTTTGACTGGATTCCCAGAGCTTGGTCTGGTGCTTGGATGTGGATCTCTGTATCTGGATATAGACAGATAGACAGACAGACAGACAGACAGACAGACAGACAGACAGACAGACAGACAGACAGATATCTGGATGAAGGTTCCAGGAGATCTCATCTAATTTCCCTTCCCAGGGGGATCTATGTGTCCCTAGCTTCTCTGGAGCTGTTGATTATAGTCTGGTTATCCTTTGCTTTACATCTGATATCCACTTATGAGTGAGTGCATACCATGTTTGTCTTTCTGAATCTGGATTACCTCACTCAGTATGGTTTTTTCTACTTCTATCATTTGCCTGAAAATGTCATGATGTCATTGTTTCTTACAGCTGAGTAATACTCCGTTATGTAAATGTACCACATTTTCTTTATTTGTTCTTCAGTTGAGGGGCATCTAGGTTTGTTTCCAGGTTCTGGCTATTACAAATAGTGCTGCTAAAAACATTGTTGAGCAAGTGTCCTTGTGGTATGATTATGCATATTTTGGCTATATGCCCAAGAGTGGTATCACTGGGCCTTGAGGTATATTGATTCCCAATTTTCTGAGAAACCAACACATGGATTTCCAAAGTGGCCATATAAGTTTGCACTCCCACCAGCAATGGAAGAGTGTTCCCCTGACTCCACATCTTCTCCAACATAAGCTGTTCTTGGTGTTTTTGATCTTAGCCATTCTGGCAGATGTAAGATGGTATCTCAGAGTCATTTTGATTTTCATTTCCCTGATAATTAAGGATGTTGAACAATTCCTTAAATGTCTTTTGGCCATTTGAGATTCTTATGGTGAGAATTCTCTGCTTAGCTCTGTACCCCATTTTTAATTGGATTATTTTGTATTTTGATGTCTAGTTTCTTGAGTTATTTATATACTTTCGAGGTCACCCCTCTGTCACATGTGGGGTTGGTGAAGATCTTTTCCCATTCTATAGGCTGTCATTTGTCTTATTTATCTTGTCCTTTGCCTTACAGAAGCTTTTCAGTTTCAGGAGGTCTCATTTATTGATTGTTGCTCTACTGGTATTATACTTAGGAGGTGGTCTCCTGTGTCAATGCGTTCAAGGCTACTTCCCACTTCTTTTCTGTCAGGTTCAATGAAACTGGATTTATGTTTTGGTCCTTGATCCACTTGAACTTGAGTTTTGTGCATGGTGATAGATAATGGATCTATTTGCAATCTTCTACATTTTGACATCCAACTATGCCGGCACCATTTGTTAGAGATGCTTTCCTTTTTCAATTGTACCATTTTGGGTTCTTTATCAAAAATCAGGTGTTCATAGGTGTGTTGATTAATGTCAGGGTCTTCAATTCTATTCCATTATCCACATGTCTGTTTTTATGGTAGTACCAAGCTCTTTTTATTATTATAGCCCTATAGTAGAGTGTGAACTCGGGATGGTGATGCCTCCAGAAGTTCCTTTATTGTACAGGATTGTTTTACCTATTCTGGGTTTTGTTTGTTTGTTTGTTTGTTTGTTTGTTTGTTTTTCCATGTGAAATAGAGTATTGTTCTTTTCGGGTCTGTGAAGAATAGGAATTTTGATGAGGATTGCATTGAATCTGTAGATTTCTTTCAGTAAGATTGCCATTTTTATTATGTTGACCCAACCTATCCAAAAGCATGGGAGATCTTTCCATTTTCTGATATCTTCTTCAGTTTCTTTCTTTAGAGACTTAAAGTTCTTGTCAGACAGGTCTTTCATTTGTTTGGTTAGAGTTACCCCAAAATATTTTATATTTGTGGCTATTGTAAAGGGTGATGTTTCTCTAATTTCTTTCTTGGCCCACTTATCATTTGTATATAGGATGGCTACTGAC